GAAAATAAAGTATCGGGTAGGGTTAGGGTAGGTGTAGGGAGGGCTTTATTGTACCAATAAGGTGGCATCCATTAAATCATTAAAATTAAAATTATAATTTACACTCAATACGTTATTATTGCATACTGTTTTATAATGTACTACAATACTGAAGTGCAGATAATTGCCACTATTTGCAACAAGTAGTATACTTGATAGTAGAAATCCTGCTATTTTAACATAGTGTAAATAGGTATTTGCACTTAGTGTAAATAGCATATTGCTAAAAAATACTGCTATTTTCACTTAGTGTAAATAGAATCCATTGCTAATACGAGATTTGAAAAGGGAGGGAAAAAAAGTTCGGCAAAAGACGGGATCGAACCCGAGTCGATCGAGTCAAAAAGCCAAGGGCATGCACTTATCCATCTGCGCCACTGGAGCTGATGATTTACAGACACTTTTAACTAAATTTAAATAGACACCCCATATTTTTTATTCTATAGTAAAGGCAATTCATACAATACATTTAAACTGAGCTACTTTAATACCATCTCCGAACTTTCTACCACGACTCTGCTGTTCTTCGGCTGGTTCTTCCCTGTATAAGTTGATTGACAGATGTCTCGTCCAGTCAGCGGTGAGTAATCCCAAACCAATGGCGCTGTCTCAAACTATACCTACCTCTTCCGGTTTGTCTGATTTGTCGTTGTGTTTTCTGACTTGTTATTTTGTTTTCGAATTTGTCCTTGTGTTTTCTGACTTGTTATAATGTTTTCTGAATTGTTGTTGTGCTTTCTGAATTGTTATTTTGTTTTTTAGACTTGCATTTGCGTTTGTAATTTGTTATTTTGTTTTCAGAATTGTGATTTGATTTGCACTTCTCGGCCACCGTACAAACATCTGATTGACGTCTCTAAGATGTCAGTTTTAAATCATAAACATCTTAAAGACATCTTCTAAACGTCTATTTGACATCTGATAGGAAACGTCCTATAGACGTATCGCAGATGAACAAACACTAAAAAATCTTGCAGATGTAATGCAGACGTCTAACAGACGTCTCCGTGATGTACATGTGCTTTCATACAACTCTTCTTCTTATTATACAAGGTCTACAAATGTATATAAAACTGATCTGAGATCATATGGTTCATGGGTGCACAGAAATCAACACTTCGCGGCGAACCTAGTGGTGAAGCAATTTCGAAACATTTATTTTTTATTATTTTTATTTCAATATTATTATTTTTTATTTATTTTTTTACAGTTTCAGGAAGCAGTGTTCCGAAAGCAAAGTAGTGTGTCCATTCACTAGTTTTCACAACTTTCGAAGTCGTGGCCTAATGGTTAGCGAGTTGGACTTGTAACCCAAAGGTTGCGGGTTCGAGTCTCGGACCGGCAGGGATTGTAGGGGAGGGGAGTGAATGTACAGCGCTCTCTCCCACCTTCAATACCATGACTGAGGTGCCCTTGAGCAAGGCACCGAACCCCCAACTGCTCCCTGGGCGCTGCAGCATAAATGGCTGCCCACTGCTCCGGGTGTGTGTTCACGGTGTGTGTGTGTGTTCACTGCTGTGTGTGTGCACTTTGAATGGGTAAATGCAGAGCACTAATTCTGAGTATGGGTCACCATACTTGGCCACATGTCACGTCACTTTCACTTTCAAAAAACTATTTTTATGGAGTTTTTGTCTCCTGGAAGTTTCTTTTTTCTTTTTCCACGAAGACGTCTCGTCTATGTTGTTTTCATTCCTGTCAAAATTTAAATATGCAGCTTCCCTGATAGCACACATCCATCACGGAGACGTCTATTAGACGTCTGCATTACATCTGCAAGACGTATTTTTTAGAGTGTTTGCTCATCTGCGATACGTCTATAGGACGTTTCCTATCAGATGTCAAATAGACGTTTAGAAGATGTCTTTAAGATGTTTATGATGTAGAATGAATGTAAAACTGACATCTTAAAGACGTCTATCAGATGTTTGCACACAGCAGATGCTTTCCAGATGAAGCGATCTTTAACAGACCTCCTGCAGAGCGGCGGGCAGTCGTTCCTCCCGCGCGGCAGGTGGCGCTGCGGAGCCGCTGCTGTTTGGCGACAGAGGAAGCGCTCAGCTGCTGTTGTTGTTGTGGCCCGTTGCGGAAGCGAATCATGGAGTAAAGTTGTCCTGATTGAAACGACCAGAGATCCTTAAATCCCCCGCGGAGAGGACAGAGGCAGCGCCGGCAGCATGTTTAAGGGCTGGAGCTCATGGCTGGGCGCAGAGTCTGAAGAGAATGAGCAGAAAACGGACAAACAGGAAACAGCAGAGAAGCAAAACATCAACACAGAGACTGAAGAAACTCAACACATCCTACAGCAGGCCAAAGGACTCAGCGGTGACACACACACACTCTACACACCAGCATATAGCACTGTATTTATGATCTGATACGATGCTAAAGCTACAGTATTAGGGTTATGACGTCATGTGATTGACAGGTAGACATGACGTGGCCAGAGTGGCATGTCAATATCATATGAATCTACTTATCCATTACTATAGCATGTATCATATGTTACAGCATATTTTCTGATGCAGAACATCTCAGTGTATTTATGTAGTAGCAAGTGACGCTAGATTAAAAAAAAACAATCAAGACTAACTTTAGGTTGGCTTGAGAAAGCCTAGCCTGAAATTTTGAAGTAGCTGTAAAAGCTTGAAAAGTTTAAAACGGATGTAAATTTTAACATTTAGATAAATAGATAGATAGCATGATTTAGCACATTGCTAGGATGTTTTAGCATGTTTCTACATGATGATGACATGTTGCTAACATGCTTCTGGCATGATTAGCATGTTGGTAGCCTGTTTTTAACACTATTAGCATGTTGCTAACATATTGTTAATCATGTTGCTAGCATGTTTTTGGCATGATTCGCATAATTAACAATATGTTAACATGTTGCATGATTAGCATGTTTTTAACACTATTAGTATGTTGCTAACATGGTTTTAACATGATTGGCATGTTTTCTGACATGTTGTTAGCATGATAAGCATGTAGTTAACATGTCTCTAGCATGATTGGCATATGTGATTTAGCATGTTTCTAACATGATTAGCTTCTTGTTAGTATGATTAGCATGTTGTTACCATGTTATGGTGCGTTCAAGTCATGTCGGATAGATTGTATTTACGAGTTGAACGCACATGAATGCCACCACAAAGTCGTTATTACGAGTGGGAAACTCGAAATTTTCTTTAAGCCCGAGTTTCCGAGTTGGGGGCGTGTCAATGACAAACATGGCGGAATCGATGGATGCGACGTCTGTAGTTGGCGGTAAATTTTTGTTTAAATTGATAGTTTAGTTGTCCTATAAACTTAAATTGGTCATGTTCTTGTTACGCAGCTGAAATCCAAGTAAAAAAATCCAGACCCTGTTGTATTTTCTTGTCATTTATTAAAAGAAGGTATACACCGCCATCTTGTGCCGACTAAACTGACTTGAACGAACCTGACGTCGTAATTACGACTTGTCAACTCGTAAGTACGAACGTCCCAGGAGGACTTGAACGCAGCATAACTTCCATGTTTCTTGCATGATTAGCATGTCGTTGGCATGTTGCTAGCATAATTAGCCTGTTTCTAGCATGACTGGCATGTTGCTAACATGTTGTTAGCATGATTAGCAAGTTGGAGCTTGATGAGTCTTGGCTCATTTGAACATTCCGTCAATGTAAGTCTATGGGATTTTTACGATTTTTAATCTTCATTTTTATGAAAACCGTAAGTCAGATCAGTCTGAAGATCCACGCGGAGTTTGGTGGATGTAGCTTGAAAGCTGTAGGAGTAGCGTTCAGACATTTTAATGACACAATAATAATAATAATAAGCTTAAAAGCCAACCTAATTATATTATCATATGTGATATGAGGGGTTTTTATTTTCAGGAATTGTAAACATGAGCTTCTGGAGTTTTGTAACGATGTTTGCTGGAAGAAATGCAATCGACTGTTGTGTTCTGCATGTGTTTTACGCAGATGTGTTTTTTTGCGCACATTTCTCCGTCAGGCTTCATTCTGAACTTTGCGAGTAGCGCGTCTAAGAAGATATCCGAGTCTGTGGCGGAAACAGCGCAAACTATCAAGAAAACGGTGGAGGAGAGCAACATCGACGGCATCATTGACAAGGTACATCATACAGAAATCAAGAGTATTTTCAGGACAAATAAAATCTCCAAGATGCTGAAATTGAGAGATATTGCTTGACATACACGTGACAAGTTCTTTATGTAATTAAAAAAAATTACTTTTTATACAATTTATAACTAAACGTTTGATTTCTCATGTCAAATTTAAGAGTGACTAATAATCTTTCAGTTTTTTAATTCATTTTATTTTTTATTTGTTTCACCACCCTGGCATTTTTTTTACTTTAATCAAATTAATTTCAAAATTAACTTGAATTAAAAAATGTAAAACATGTTTAAGTGTAGTTTAGCCGCTGTCTGTATGTAACGCATTTTACTTTGATTTTAAAATTAAGGACTAAATCCCGACCAGTGTTATTTTAGTATCACTGATATACTTTTATAGTTTTTGTTAATATTTGTAAGTTTTAGTAGAGTGGTGCAATTAATCGAAATACAGTTTCGATTTCAGGCTCCAACGATTATGAAAATACAGTAATCGAGATAAAATGATTATTGCGCCCCATTCCACCCCTTTTCCAGCAGTGCGCTTTCACTCCATAAAAGCCCAATTTGACGTGTGAATCAGTAAAATCATGTAGCGTGACTTTCGCAAAATGGGACATACTTGATTTATTAAAGTTGATTAGATTTATTCATGTTTTAAAAGCGTTTATTTCTGTGCGTGCGCTCAGAGACGGAACAGAAGACGGACGAGTAAAGTGAGCGTTTAGCTTAAGGTGCGCCTAAACGGTCAAATACACACAAAAATGATTGGTGATTATTCACATAAACCCTCGTCGGTTTTGTTTTAAGTGAATGTAAACAGTTGAGAATGAAAATACGTGAATAACTGTAGTTAAATTGGATCCGTGCAGCTCTTAACGTGACAGCAGCCTAATATTCCTGCTGCTGACTGTGTGCTTCATATTAATCAAACAACAAAAGACAGAGAAAATCACTCACTGCTCTTCACGCACGTGTGAGTGTGTTTGTGTTTGTGTGTGTGTGTGTGTGTGTGTGTGTGCGTGCGTGCGTGTGTGTGCGTGC